AGTAGTTGAACGCTGACGTTCACCAAGAAAAGAAGAGAGAAAACATGACTGGTGAGTGTACATGGTGGTATGTAAGACCTGCCTGGCATATCGTTGATGGTATAAGCAAAACAAAAGGGAACCTCCAAAAGCAGCAGCGGGAAAGAGACTTCAAATGATCAACCCAGGAGGACAGAGAAGAGCAACAACTACAGCAAGCCGGACGAAACTTTCCAGAAGTGACCAGCCTTTGCCCAACAAGCACACGCATGCGCACACTCACACGAACCACGTTAGCTATGCGGCCCAAGGCGTTGAAGCCCATGCCTCTCGACTTACTCCGTCCCCGGAGCCAAAACATCAACGCATTTGCTGCGCCATAAAAGTCTTCGCCAACTCATCCCCTCCACTCTCTGCTGCTCCCATCCAGTGGATAGCCAAGCACATCAATGCCGGGTCGCTCCTGACATCGCCCATTCCCATTCCCGCAAATCTGGCGCTCTCATCCGAACTGCTTCCACCGGCACCAGATCTTCCACCACCGCCACCGTACTTGTCAATAACAGCTTGCTTGAATACCTCCCGGGGCTTGCTCAGCGGCAGAGTGGTCCGCTCGACCAGCTCAGGGTTGGACAGGTAAAAGATAGCCAGCTCGCGCTGCGCAGTGGGATCGCCTTCCTTGGCCGTGATGGTCCACATGCGTGCAGCGTCGGCGAGAGAGTGAGTGGTGAGAGGAAGCGGGGATGGCGGCGAGTTGAACGGGGACGATGGATTGTCGGCTGTGGGTGTTTGCGTGCCGCTTGGCTCTTCTCCTGCTCCGCTGCCCGCCCGGTGGTCGTATGCATCGTTGCGAGTCGTCGTGAAGTTCTTAACTACCTCGTCTGCGACTTCAACCATTGTCCGGCAGACTTCTTGCTTGAGACTGAGTGCGGCAAGTCCGGCGTCCCAGAACGCTTTGCCTCGTTCTGTCTTGTCAAGCATGGTGGGAGAGACAAAGGCGGCGATGAACTGCAAGTCGCGGAAGAGTGTTTTGGGACGCATAGATGAATCACGGAAGAGCTTCTGTAGGACATTGGCGATGGCATCCGTGTTGGCAGGGTACACCGACACAACGGAGCGCGTGTCGGCTTCTCGTCCGCCGCCCGGCACTCTACCACTATGCCCATGACTGCCTGAAAAGGCCGGAGCTTGCATGAGCGCGTGAGAACGCCGCTCCTTGAAGCTGTCAATCGCGTCGTCGATAGGCTGCGATCGGGTTTGGGCCCCGTGCTCCTCGGTGGTCGAAGATGCAGAGCCGGGATCAGACCGCGCCCAGGCCAATCGAGAGCGCCGGGATCCCGAATTCAGGGATGCGCTGATCAAGTGTTGGAGCTCATGAAGGGCATTGAGCTTAACATATGGGTTGGGATGCACGCAGAACATCCGCAAGAGTCTCTGGTAGGACTTCATGAATGGGAAATCAGGCATTGCTTCCTTCTTTCCGTCGCGGTTAGACCGCTGTCCGGATAAGGGCTCGTTAGGGGCAGTATTCTCGTTTCCGTGAACACTGCCCGAGCCACCTGCTTCGGCAACAGGATTTTGTGTCTCGGATGCTCCCTTTTCGCTTACTCCATCGCGGAGGTCGGTGTAGCTCTTCTTCCTTTCAAGGATCCGCTGCTTGAGGCCACCTTTGCCGGCGGACTTGCGCTTCTCCTTGCCCAGGGCCTCACGGTTGCGGCGCTGAATGGCTTCTCGGCGATCAATACAATCCTGGCCTAGACCTTCAAACCACGCGTCCGTTTCCGAACCGCGAGAGAATACCAGGTTACCAAGATCGGAGAGAATAAGACTGGTAAGCGTCTGGCGGAGTTCGCCGAGGAAGCGAGCCTTCTCCTCTGACTGGCGCTGCTGGAAGACAGTTTCGCTGGAAGATGACACTGAGGCGCCAGACCGACCTATCGAGTGCTGAGAGTTGGACGGGAGAGTGTGATGATTGGGAGGGTTGAAGGAGCCAGAGAAGTTGGTTATGCTCGTGGTTGGCGACTGAGCCCTGGACGTAACGGTACTCGGGGATGTAGGCCGGCGGTGGAAGGGTGACCAGAACGTCTCTCGAGAATCGATCTGATGCACCGGGGATGATGCACCGAAGTAGTCCGAGCCGTCAATCTCGGAAATCGCAGTGCTGGCTCGTGAATAGCTGAAGCGGCTAGAAGAATCGAAGGACAACTGACTCAAATTATGACCAGACAAAGCTCGCAGATTGGTGTTGGATGACCGGCCCCGCATTCCCGGGGTGAATCTCCTTTCAGGGTCGCTAATCACACTGATGGAGTCATCCCACGAGACCGACTGGGTGTCGAAGTCTCGGTCACGGCGACTGACCTGCTTGCTCTCGAGGTTTCGCCTATCCCGCGTGAAAAGTTCACTGGACCATAGAACCGGTCCGTCGACAATGCTATCACCGAGCAGTTTGTTGATACAACTATCAACCTCACAGCAGAAGCGATGGATTCTCTCCTCCCCGCAACAGAAGTTTTCAACCTCATACTGTTGCAGCCACCTGGCAGTTTTCTCTGCCTGCTCGTCACGGAGCTTGTTAGGTCCACCTTGCTCTTCGGGCGCCGCGAGGATGTCCAAGACCTGGGATTCGGTCTTGAAGAGGTAGCTGGAAGCTGGGCCACGTTGCATCCTGCTTTTGACTCGCTGGAACGAATTCCAACGGTGAGGCATGCCCATGGTTTTGAGGGCGACTGCAACATTTCGTGATTCGTCATAAGGTGCGGAGTTGCGTACGTCGGTAACGTACCACATCTTGTTACGAAGGGCACGAAGCCGGCGCATCATTGAATCTATAAGACCCTCGGCGCGCTCCTGGCTCTGCTTCAGCCAGATAAGCCATGCATCGTATTCTTCAATAGCGGCGGCGGACTTGCGGATCGAGTCTCGTGGGCCACGGGAGAAGATGTTGAGCAATGTTGAGAACCCATCCTTGCGCAGAGACTCGGATGTAAGGGCGTTGAGCTGTTGGAGTGTCCTCCAGTATAGGTGGGCGTTGACAAAATCAGATTGTGCTCGTGATTGGGAGGATGCGGCTGTTAGCATGGCGATAAGGAGTGACGTGGGTTCCGCGGCCTCTGGTAACTCTTTCCCCTTGCCATTTCCCCGGCTGGAAGTGTCCGACAGACTGCTGGTAACACTCGGGGTTCGTGAACGACAGCTATTGTATGGATTCCGGCTGCCCATATTATTGGCCATCCGGTTTTTGGACCTGTATTTCTTGAGTGTCGATGCTCGGTTGCTAAAGGTTTGCTTTCGCGTGCCACTGCTCTCCAAATTCTGAGGAATCTCATATTCCTGAACCAACTTCAGGATCGCGTCTCGAAGTTGGTGATAGTCGTGGTACAGTGTCGGCCGTTCGTTGTCAGTCTCGTCAGTTTCGCTATCGGTGTTAGAAGTAGTGGCCTCTTCATCGACCTCATCATCGGGATCGAAGGTCATGTGCGTTGAAAGTTGGCTGCCGTTGCCAGAGATAAACAAAACCGCCCAGCGCTCAGCGCAAGGGTGACAGGAGCCGTTTAACACGTCCTGTCCGAGGACCTGAGACATTTCATGCAAGGCGAGACGAAGACGGTACCCGTCATCCTCGTAGTTGACCGAAGAACTTGGGGCGCTTGAAGCCGGAGGAGAGTAACCGGGCCCTTCCTCGAGAAGGGGCTCGCGGGATGTTGTTATATCGCTGGTTATCGAGCCGGCACTGGTGCTGACAATTGACAAGGCGTCGAACTGCGTGCTAGGGGCTGTCCTCACAGACATGGGTTGAGATACCACAGAGAAGTTGGACACAGACGGCGCCCCAGAACGGCGGCCTCCAGAGTGAACTGAAGCTGGTCTTCGATCTGGGAAGAGGGCGTTGGCAATGGTAGCGAAATCGGCGGGGCTAACGACCAGATACGGATGAACTTCTGCTGTTTCTCGAAGGGACGTGATGGATCGAGCGGGCAAGAGGCGGGTCTTGGGCTGATACTTTGTGTTTCTGAACCGGTTCTGTATGTTCTCAATGTGCCCTCGGATCTTGGGTGGGATCGACACCGGGGTTTTGCTATGGAGCATGTCAATAACGAGTTTTTGTGCATTCATGGCAACGGATTTGAGAATCTTCTGTCGCCCATATTCAGTGATGTGATAGTCCGCCATCATCCCATAGGCCTCTGGGTGGATGATGACTCCGAGCAGCCAGGTGGAAAACAAGAATTTGGCCACAAGCCACTTGCGGGTCGCTTCGAGGTATTTCTTTTCCAGGCATTTGATGATTTCGTTCCCTAGCTCGATAAGTCCCTCGGGGATACCGGTGTTGTCTTCATCGTCAATGACCTCGAACAGCTCATCCACAGCTTTGGCATAAAACTCCTCCGCGGCAATCTGATCCTTGGAACTCCAATCCGATATATTGAACCGGGTTCCATGTTGGTCTTCGGCTCGGTCGAGCAGAAAGGCTCCTTCCTCAAGGATCTTCATAAGATACCATTCCATGTTGGATTTTCCGGACCAGCCGCGCATGGAAACCCAAACATTGCAGATGGACATGACAGTCTGTTCACTGCCAGTGGCCGGGTTGGAAATCAACCGGGCGCAGACGTTCGCCCAGATCGACGTCCTGCGCTGGTCCTCAGCGCTGTCGGGACCTGCAGAGTTAGCAAAGCAAGTGTATATCAAGGCCGACATGGGATCGTGTCTCTGGAAGGATAAAAGCCGCTCGATGGCGCTTCTTTCCTGGGCCGACTGCCGATTGGCGCCCACTGCACTCGAGGAGCTACTGAAGGTAGAGCCAACAGCACTCGAAGAGCCCGACATACCCGAAGTACCACGACCAGCTGGTCGGCTGTGATACGGAAGGACCGACTCAATTGGCTCCATGGTCTGATGGAACTTTGTCAGCGCCGCCAGTTCGGTGCTTTTCAAGGAACTGATTCTTGTTGCCAGATAGTCGGGATTCGTTCTGATTTGGTTTAGAACACCCAACAAAGCCTCTCGCGACTCAGAAGACAGCTCGTTGAGGAAGCATGGAACACTCCCTGGTGCTGGGGTGGTGCCCGCAATTGATCCCGTGGGTGTGTCAACGCTCTCGGTTGACGTGAGACCTGGCGCCTGCGCCAATTCCATATCGGGCTCGAGCATGGCATATCGACGGGTTTCGTCGCAACTCTTGCGGACGTCGATGATTGCATTGTACAAGGATGCAAACGTCTTCTTGTCGTCTCCACGGAAGCAATCCACCAGGCTGCGATGGGCCATCTCACCAGACCTCATGAGACGGGCAGAAAGTGCCGTCGAAATAAGGTTCCTTTGCAGGCGAATCCTTGTGTTTGCGCGCTTGCGCTCCTGGTACTTGGACAGGCGAACAACATGGGCCAGCTCCTCCAAGGTTGTTCCTTCACTTTCTGGGCTCCAAAAGGGCTGGGTATAAAGTGAAACATCAGACAACAACGGGCGCGGGAACTTGAGTTTGGCCGGTTTCTCATCCGACAAGGACAAAGAGGCGGTTGCAATATTGGTGTTGAGACTGTCGGATGAGTCCTTGGGAGTAGGGGCTGGCGACGGCTCTGTGCCCTGGTCGATGGTGGGCATGGGACGGATGGGAAGAGTGGTAGGCATCTGCAGACCAGGTCCGCGCCTAGACAGGTCGTCGTGACGGCGGCTCATGTTTGCGTCTTTGGCCGCGCGAGACGGGCTCTTGGTTCGATGTGCTCGTGAGTGCAAGGCGTCCACATGACTCTCCGAAGATGGCGGAATTGGCGACCTCGACGTTGCCGGAGGAGACCGGTCTGGGGATGGAGCTACTCGTGAGAAGGACGTGGGTTAGCGCAACGGGACTAGAGAGCTCAACCTTGGGGAATGATCCTCTGGTTTCCCCGACATACGCAGCGACGATTGAACGTTGGTGGGCGAAGAAAGAGAGCGCTGCATGGATATCATAATGGGGCCATGCAATAAGGGATCCAAGTGGTCGACCATGTACTACCGACGACGGCGGAGGTTGGCGTTCCAATAACAGCGACGGGGGTGCTCGGTTCGGCTCGACAAGGCGCTAAGATATTGGATGAGATATCAACGGATGGGAGCTGGACCACCTTCGGCTTGGAACGTTTTTTGTTTTGGGGCATCAAAGATGGGTATAACAGTTCATGTTTTCATGAAGACTAAGAAAAGGATATGTAGGTATATCTGTCTTGAGAACGGGAACAAGGCGAGCCCTGGCCGTGCGTGGTTGATGTCGCAAACCGAGAGACGATCTAACAAGTGAGCAGGGATAGAGGTCCGCACCCGAGGAGAGGGGGGGTAGGCAAGGTTGATTCCGTCAGCTGTGAGGTCCAGTCGAGAATACGCAATGGATGTTTGAGTGACGGACAGCGAGCCCGGAGTTTTGTTGCCCTGATGGTTATGGTCTTTGACCGATTCCTGGGGTTGAGTCGGGACTTGACGACCTGAAGTGAAGAGTCAAGAGGGCTCAACAACCTAATGGTCCTCGCCTTGCCTTGCCCTGGTAACAGGGACGGGGAGCTGTTGATGGTCTCGCCTCAAACCAGGCACGCAAGGTGAATCAGAACCAAGCTGCAAGAGGAAAGGAATGCTGATCGGTTGCTAGGAAAAGTTCTGACACCACACCATGCCCTGATGGCCCTGGTCGATATGGCTCTCTGAGGCTTAGCCGGATGGATCCTCAGGGGGAGAGTACGATCCGAAAGACCCAACCTAACTGAAGCAGGCGAAGGGCAAGGAACGGGACTGGAGTCCCGTCGGGCACGAGGACGGCTGGGACGGAGACGGGATGGTCGACAGCGACAGCAACAGCGCGACGCTTTGCGACTGACAGGGCAGGTGGACACAGGGCAACGGACAGCGGTTATAACAGGGCGAGCAAGTCTTGTGGATCCTCCCGGCGGTTATGTACCCAGGTCGTCGACTAGGTTGGGGGTGGAAGGATTCCCTCTTTGGGTTGGGCGGGAAGAGTGGAAGTATAGTGTAAAATAAAACAAGTGGTGATGATGTTTGTCTTGGTTAAGTTGTCTCCCTCAGGTCTGTCTCTGCTCACAACAACCTGCAAGTTGCCATCATGTGGATGAGACGGATATCGGGTTTTCATGTACTTACACAATCCATCCCACCGAACTGGAAAGACTGAGTGAGAGCCGATGAGAGCGCAACATGAGAGAGGTGACGGACGGGAGGGAGCTGGTGTGTCTCGTCGCACCCTGGCCGGCCTGGCGCCTCTGCCTTGCTGCCGTGAACTCAAGATGATCACGGTGACTTTGAGCGATGTACCGGACGTGGGGTAAGGGACGGATAGCCCAGTCCATCAGGCGGCCCACTTATTTACTAGTTGGGTTTGGCGGCTGGGAAATGCGGGACACACTTTGGAGCAGCTCCCCTCGTGCCTGCAAGTTTGGAGTCATGCCTTGTGAGGTTGGAGATTGGTGGATTTCCTTGACATTCAGCGCATGTTTCTCTGCCACGCTACAATCCCTGTCTCTTCCTTTTTTTTTTTCTTTTTTTTTTTTTTCCCCATCTCGTGAAGCTCTTGTTGTCCAGGTTCCCCTCCAGACAAGGAATCATGGTTCAATATCAGATTTCGTAAATCGATATCAGAAAGGGTATAGCTCAGCAAACGGGCTTCATTCGACGCCCAGAGACAGTTTCAGTTGTCCATGCCGCCCGCAACTGCACGCACCTCTCCTTCCTCATTTCAGTCCTGCATCTTCATTTCAAATTTCTCAGTTCTTTCCCCCCTCCCCCACTTGCACTTGCATGTGTCAGGACAAAAGAAAGAAAGAAAGAAAGAACGAAAGAAAGAAAGAAAGAGCTACGGGTTGAGGCTCCCCTTCCGCCCAGTCCCCTCCTCCTCTCTCCTCCATTGCCCCGCTTCCACTCACCCACTTCTTTCCCTTTTTTCGGGCCCGACATGTGCCTGACGTGATTTGCCCTCGTATCGTTCGCGCTTGCGTTGACGCTTGCGCTTGTCCCTCTGGCTTTTTCGGTCTGCTTGCTTCGGATGCTTTCCATCAAATGTGGATGTCGTGGACACAAGATATTACTCTTCCTTCCGTTGGATGGACGGACACCGTTGCCGCCAGTCATGCTGAGTGAGCTGAATGGACGAGATGGAGTCCCATGACAAACACTGAGCGCGCGACTTTGATAGCGACAGACGTTCAGCTTCCAATCGCCGTCTTCAGCTTGGTCCGTCATCCCCTCTTGCCTGTCCAAGCGCCGCAAAAACATAATTTTCCATGACGCATATCCACGGATCACGCATCACCGGTCGAGATAATATGCGGAAGAATCCTGCTATGGACATCCATCTGCTCTTTTCCTGCTGTGCCTGACGACTGCGGGATGAGTGCCCAATCTCATCAGTATCAGCTTGTCATGGCTTCAAAGGCATGGATGGCATGGCTTCATCCGAGTCCACCGCTTTTCTTGTCCTCTCTTCCTTCTTGTCGTTTCTTGCCTCCAACTCGTCAGCTTTTTCATGCTTTTCCACCGCCCCTTCACCAGACTCGGGCTCATCCCTCCGAAATGCAGCCATCAGTTTCCGTGGGGAGCAAAATGTCCTGTCCGAGCTTAGTACCAAAAAGTCATGATTCATGATATGGTTACGAGGTGACGGAACACCGGCCACACTGCCAGCTCATACTACACTACTCCTCCAAACTATTGACATGCGCAGTTACAGTCTGGTGCTCGGCGTTGATCCCCTCAGTCACGTACATACATACATATCAAGGAGTCAAGCAAGGATGGAGGAAATATGTATCCAGATCCCCGACATCCCAATTCCAGATGGTGACGGCTGTGTTGAATCACACTTTTCCCACTTACATATGTACAGACATGTCTCCCGGCTATATCAATACTTAGTGTACAAGGCTTGCCTTATACCTTCCCTCTCCGGCGTCTCTGTTATCATGTTTGCCTCGTCCTATTGTTTCGCTCCAAACCCCCCTTTTCGGGTCTCGCTTGCTCTCATGGACAAGGCATGAGGTGCCCTTGGATAATGCTATAGGCCACACGCTGAGCATGTACACAGCCTGCTGAGCTGGCCTTGCATTTTCGCCCCCCCGCCCTTTTGCATCTCCCACGGCTTCCCATTGCTTGGGCCCGGCTCTTGGCAACCTGGCCGTCAAATCGTCCAATGCCAGTCGTCCACGATCCAAGACCACCCCAGGAGCCTGCTTTTGGCCTCTTTCGGAAGCAGGTACCTGAAGCATGTACTCCCCACCCAAAAGACTCACTAGAGATACTTTGGGCTACATACCGACCTGGGAACAAGCGTCGTGAACATGCCCGGTCTGGTTGCCAACTCACACCACCCACACCCACACACGTAAAAGTTCACCACCACCACCACCACCACCACCACCACCACCGCGGTCACCACCCTCTCAGACGGCCTCACAGTCCAATCACATGTTCTCGTTATGCCCGCTTGATCCTGCCACGGCTTGTCTCTGCCGCCGGTATATCAAAATCCTCCGATAGTTATATCTTTATTTTTGTCTGGAATGACACTTTCCGTCCCTCCAAGCCAAGCTTGGACGATCGGCCAATGCCGCCAGTGGTGGCATTGTTGAGCGCCATCCCAGGGTAAATTCTTTCCTTTCATAATGCCGGACATTAAAACACGCAACACGAGGCGAGGCAAGGCCGCATACTGCGCACCATCGCGGCGGTGATCCGGCCGGCAGATGGACGACAAGTCAACAAAAGGGTCCAACAACACGGCCGGCGCTTGTGGCTCCACTCCCCAACATCGATCCGTCTGGGTCGGACAAGCTCCCGTCTGTGTGTTCGGGTCTCTTTTTCCATCCCAGAGACATATCAGAGGGTCCTGCTGTGCGAGGATTCTTGCTTCGCCGCACCTTTTTGGGTGGTGCGGTTGTGCAACCCCTGTGCTGTCTTTCTGTGACGGCCCAGATCCCGCACTCATCCACACCTGGAAGTTCATGATGGTGGCTTCCAAAGCTCCTCCGTTGCGGAGGTCTTGGGGCTCTCTCCAATTCCCCAGCCACGCCGCGCCGATACCACGCCGGCCGAGTCTGGTCCCGGGCCACGCACCACGTACCTTAGTCAGGCACGCACCTTTACCGCCAGTTTCGTGACGACGTTCCATCCCGAGCCCATAAGCATGTGGCGCATAGGGGTTTAGTCCCTACCTTAGTCCAGCACTTCTGCACGTCAGACTCCTCATCTCGTCCCACTTTGTGGGCAGCATGGAAATGTTGCCGGGTCCCAGCTTCGACGGCGCAATGAAGACGCTTTCATTGGTGATAGCTGTGTTATATAGGCCTCCCAGCCGCCTTTCAAGCCTTTTGATACGACTTCATCCCCCTTTTCTCGTCCGGGGTTCCTCCTACGTGGCTCACTCACCACCGTTCATTATCCCCAGACCGCTGCTTCGAGGTTACCAACAGGGTTATAACCCGCATACGCATACGCATACATCTCGTGCGCTTGCTTTGCTCGTCGGGAGGGATGAAGCTGCCTTTGGGTAGCGAAGCGCTCAGTCGGCTTGAAACCGCGCAAGAGCCGAGAAACTGGGAGGCAGGTACCATGCTAGCTTGTTTGTGCCTGAACGTGGGCAGAGTTGCCTTGCCACGCCCGTCGTTTCATGCTGCCGGAGGTAAAGTGGGTGCTCGGCCCCCTCCAAAGACGAAGCAATCAAGGCAGCGGCGGGATTCAGTTCGATCTATCAGAGATGTTTGCCCTGCTGGATAATGACAGGTACCCGTCTGTTTCCTGATAAGTCATTTACTAACGGCAACAGGTTTAGGGCTTGGTCATACAAACACAAACCCACATACGACCTACATTAAGTACGTGAAGCATGTCTCAAGACGGAAGGACGACAACAAATATGTCTCAGGCGCGAATATGCCAGCGAAGAACGATCTACGTCTCAGTGTGCACATTGTGCTCCCGGGCTACCTCGTCAACTCGTCTACGCCCTTCCCAGTTTGCGGCTTCATGGGCATCGTGGAAAACGACTAGTTAGTCCGTGAATCCAGTTTGGGTTAGAGATGGTCGTTCAAGCGCGCACACGCCCGCGTGCTGTGCCACGTTGTCACGGATATGTCCGATGACTCCTTCTTCACAAGTCAGAGGGAGAATTGGGAAAAGAGCGATGCCGTGCCTCGGTGACAGTCCTACCAGCCACAAAAGCTTACATGCACCCACATTCATGGAGCTTCACCTTCCACCACACCTTGCCAACTAGCAACTCTGCCAGCTAGGCTAGCTAGCCAGTGCTCTCCGCTCGCCTTACCTGAGCAATTGGCCAACGAGATGATTGCGCGAATCCTGGGAAACACAGGGCGAATCCTACACACTCCTCCCGAGACAATCCCGGCGGGTCTGCTCATCCCGTTTGGTCGTGTTAGCCGATTTTCAAGCATAGAGCTGGTCGTTGACGTTTTTCGATAGCCTTCTTCTCCAGATCCTCATCTTCCAAGGTCTACGTGGACTAGTGCCTCATCTGCGCCAGTTGACAAGAGTTGTTACTTTCACGGACGCGCAGCTCATACTAGCTAAGTAGCAAGCCAGAAAATCGCGTGGACCCAAACCTCACAGTATCACTCCATGTCTGCTTTCTTGCTGTGTGTCGTTGTGTAAGGTAGCTGTGTGTAAGCTACGTTTTGTGCTACGTACACCTCATCGGGAACACAGCATCCATTGTTCTAGCTTTGGAAGTTGGTTCGGGTAAGTTTGGACCCGGCCGGAAGGTTTGACGGGGTTGGGGCTGTTAGAGCAACAAGCTGGGCAGGTTGGAGAAGGGTTGGGGGGGG